AGAAAGAAAGAAAGAAAGAAAGAAAGAAAGAAAGAAAGAAAGAAAGAAAGAAAGAAAGAAATCATGATAACATCCTATATGTAATGCCGTGCAATTAAAGATTAAACTGGATTTCTATTGATTTGAAGGAGAGAATTATCCCACATTAGTTGGTGCCTATTGCTCTCATTGGAGATCTTTTTTTTTAATGGATGGAAGGGCTACTTAAAGTATACAACTACTTATGTATTCTCTTTGTGTAGCTTTCTGTAAAAGGTTATAATGACAAGCAACATATTCTGCTGAAGAAGATTATTGAGAAAATGGCTACCTTCGAGGTTGATGAAAAGCGATTTGAAATTATCAAGGAGGCCGTAAGTCGTCTGAAAAGTTTGATCCTATTAGAATGAGAAATGCCCTATCTATGAAAAAAAAAGAAAGGCATTAAACATAAATTGTTCTGTTTCTGTATTGTAAAAATGAACATTTGTAGAAAAGAGCAAGACGGTGGGCACAATGCATAATTCTAAACTAAAGTTAGAATCCTAAATACTTAACGGGGAATGATCTTCACTAATCAGTGACTTATTTCTGAGTAGACAATGTAGGCTGTGACCCTAAACCCTTCAGTTTACAAAGGGCTAGGAATCCATAGTATAAATAAATGCTCACCATCCCATTTATTAGAGATGGATTTTTCACTCATGGCATTGTCTTTCTGAGTCTCCAACCATGCCCTTTTGACCATTGAAAATGTTCTGTGATGCTTTGGTTTTTACTCTGATTCAGAGAGTGGGGAAAGACTGAAAAATAATGTATTCATTTTCCATTCTCCAGACTTCAGCTGCTTAGTCTATGCAAGTATTTGTTTACAATTATTGAGCCCCAATATTAAATGCTAACCTTTGTCCAATTTTAAGGCTGTTTTATTAACCAATCTCACTTCCCGATTTCATGTCTTGATGAAGAAGGAGCCATAGTTTCTTCTATATTTTATTTGAATGGATATTTTGAGTATAAAAGTGATTAAATCAGTGAGATTTATTGAAAAACTACATTATTTTGCATTGGCCTTTGTTTTACTTTAATAGTATATGCGATCACTTAACAACTTTCGAGCTGAACAGCCACATGAGCATGCAATGTATTACCTTCGGCTCTTAATGACAGAAGTTGCATGGACCAAAAATGAATTAAAAGAAGCTTTAGATGGTAAGGTTTTGCCAAATCTAAATTGCTTGTTTTCTATGTTATTTGGTAAGTTAATTTGGTTTACTTTAAAGGAAATATGCCCTAAGGTCGTGTGGAGTATTTGGACATTGTGATTGTTGTGTTGAAGTTGAAACAAATATGGAGAATTTGCGAATTTAAATTTTAAATAACTTTTAATTATTAAAGTCATTATCCCTGGAGTTTAGTGTATCTAGAATAAATAGATGGGGAAGTTTAGTAAAATTATCCAAATAGAGTTCTAATTACAAGTCAGAATATTATATGTGCAGCTTGAGGAAGAAGGTTCTGGCAAACTTCATGTCTGATACATATACTGTAGTTGCAAGGAAACAAGTCAGTCTCTCCCTCCCCCCCTCCCCCCCATATAATATATGTACCAATGACATGAAGTATCCTTCGGTAAAAAGCAATGTTTAGATAAAGTGCACAGTGTAAATTATATTTATATAGTGGTAAGGTAGAAAGTAATAAATGATGGCATGTTTTGTGGTGATTTACATGGCAATGACAATAAGTCTATAGCAGAGGTGTCAAACTCAAGGCCTGTGTGCCGAATGAGGCCCGCAATGTGGTCAGATCCAGCCCGCAGGCCCTCCTAGTCTACCCAATGCTAAGAGGAAAGATCAGGCCAGTGTGGCTTCGGCCCAATCTAGCCAATGCAAAGAAGAAACATACCAGCAGTTTGGGGAGTGGCGTTAAATTGGCCATGCCCATCCGGTCAGTTGGTCAAACCCACCCTATCGGCTAGACCCACCCGGCCGTCTGAGGTCAACCACAGCCCTGATGCACCCTCAATGAAATTGAGTTTGATATTCCTTGGTCTATAGAAATCAATTTATGTGTTTCAACAAACAATTCAAATTAATTTTGGATATTGGTGCCCATTAGTTTTTTTTAGCTATTATTTAAATTCAGTTTTCTTTACAATTGGGATTGAAGTATAGCTGTCCCCTTACTACCGGTATGTATAGGAAAAGAGTATGGAATCTACTAGATAAACATGATTTATCTAAAAATGCAACAATGTTCTCTTGCTAATCTCATCCCATATTCATCTTAGTATTAGAAAACTTTGTGAGTTAGAGTTGACTGTTTTCCTTTCTTTCCTCTACCTAGTTTGTGTTTAGTTTTGTTTTTCTACCTTTCCCACTATGCATGTCTATTATAATAGAAGGTTGGTGAATCTGGACTATGCATATCATTTTTTGTCTATTTAATGATGGCTGATTACTTCAGGTAAATTAAACTGTAGTTAGAGGTCTAACATAAAATAGGCTCTATCAAAACATGTGAAAAGATTGGTATTAGAATGCATATCCCACTGAATGCATTACAGTATAGTAAATAGCATCTAGATAAAAATGTATATGATTGGTTGCACAGTCAGCCAGATGTTTAGACTGGATTTGGCATTTTTGTCCACCTACTGAGTCCTTCCTAGGGACGTGGGATAGGAAGATGTTGTTTAATAATAATAAAGATATGGACTCGGGATGTACGCTATTCTAAATAAAGCTGCCTTTTGTAATTGTATGATGATGATTTTGTCAATGCTGATTATGTTCAAGTGGTGCTCTAGTTGTTTTGGGATAGCACTGCAGGCATTTATTGTTATTATTATCTGCCTTGGTTTGGTACTACTCAAGGCAGCATACATAATGCTATTTTCCCGACAATCAAGCCAGTCTGATGAGTTGGCTGAATGAGAGACTGAACTCAAGTCACCAGATGACCTTCATGCTTCAGGAAGCACTAGAACCCATGGTCTCTTTAGATTTCCAGTCTAATACCTTGATCTCTACCCCATATGTTTGTCTGTGTCTGTCTGAAAGAAAGATAGATGCAAAGGTGTGTAGGTATATACCTGTGTAGGGATGAATGTGCCAGAATTAAAGGTAATAGCTGTAACATAGCATTCTTCATTTTCGTGCCTTCTAGACACATTATACTACCATTCTGATAATTCTCAATTGTGGCATTTGATACCCATCATAAATGAGATTCCCTAAGATGTGGAAAGATACTTGTGGCATACACATGTGTGCTAAAAATATAATATCAAAATAACCACCATTTTTAATCACTGTTACGAATATGTCAGTGCAGTTATGTACTTTTCAAGAGTGCTACATTTTTTTACTCAGTAACAGCTTGAACTTTGTCTTTGATCATCATGTGAATGATTAATTTTGAAGATGGATGTATGCTTAGTTTGATTGCACTGAAAGTCGCCTTTTTTGCCTTTTTCATATTGAAATCTGGGTCAATCCAGATATGAATTCTGAGCAAGGCATACTGTGAGCGCAGCAAGATAGAGTTGGAACATTTCCCAAATATGAATATTGTTTTTTGTTGATTATATATTTTTTCTACTTAAAGCTAAGAAATACATTGTATTTTAAGATAATGTGTTTGTTTCTCTCTCCTTCAAATGGAAAATGCATTTGATTTTAAATATCTACATATCTATTGTAGATGTTACTCTTCCTCGCCTCAAGGCCTTTATTTCACAACTGTTGTCACGGTTACATATTGAAGCACTTCTCCATGGCAATATAACAAAACAGGTTGGTTTTGATGTGCTTTTAATGGATATTTATTACCCATTTTTCCCAAATCTTAGCTTTATGTTCTAATTTTAAGTAATCACCGTATTATGTGTAGCGCCTTAATGTTCAATATTGCAATATTAATGTAAATTTATCATATCAATAAATTGGAGGATAGTTATATAGTATTGGCACAAGGTATATATTTTGCAAAATGGGCATTATAGGTTTCATGCTGACAGGAGCTAACTTCAGTTATTTTTGATTTGCATCTTACATATGCTTTCATCTTCTACAACAATTTGGATTTGTGATAATTACTTTTTCTAATATTTCTGCAAAATCCGTTTGTTTGGATTGAAGCTTATTACATTTAATAGGATTTATTTCCAAATAAATACACAATTGAAATGTGAAATGTTTCTTTTATGATAAAATTGTAATGTCAGACTTTTCACCATTTCTCAGATTGGTCATTGGTGCTATATAATCTTAGCATGCATCTGATTAGATCTTCATTTTATTTTGTAATTTTTAAGTCACTTTGTTTCTCTTACAAATACTTTTGATTCTGAATTCATTTAGCCATCTTGTTGTTAGCTTTTGTGCCTGATAAAATAAAAGGCATTTTGGCATTCATTTGTATTAACACTGTCCCGTTCACATGAAGCAAATAGGATCCAGGCGTGAGGCTTAAGCACTCCAGCGCCTTAAGGAAATGTTAATTCAAATAAATCTGCAAAGTGCTCTGTGCACAAAACTGGGAGAAACAGAGCAATATAAAATGATGTAGCTCATGCACGTCAAGGAAGGTGAGACAGATTTATCATAAATGAAAAGGATGACGAACCAAAGAACAATTTCATCTTAAACTGTTAAGAAGCTAAAAACAGAAATTAAGTATATAATGAGGAATTCTCCCTTTTATTTCTGATGCTGAATAGCATTCATATGTATGGTTTCAGCTTTCAGATTTAATACTTGCAAGGGAGCTTCTCCTTTCTCATTCCTAATTTTGCTGTTGCAGTCAAATCTATTACCCTTCTGCTGTTGTCACAGATAGATAAAAAATGACCATGCAATGAATAAAATCTGCAATGAATTTCTTCTTTTTTCAGGCTGCATTAGGAGTTATGCAAATGGTTGAAGACACGCTTATTGAGCATGCTCATACAAAACCCCTGCTTCCCAGCCAGTTAGTAAGATACAGGGAAGTACAGCTGCCTGATAGTAAGTGGTTTAGCTTATCAGCTATAAAATACTTCATTTAAAGTTTCAAAGTGCATATACTATAGCTTGCAATAAAGTACAATTATGTCTTCAGCTATTTTTGTTTTTCAGAATTTGTTTAATTTCAAGTTTGTGCTGCAGATAAGTGAGAATCAACGCCATGATTTGCTTCTTTGAAAAAAAAAAAAACCCTAATCATGAGACTTATCTCTTTCAGTGTGGTATAAGAAAGAAATGATATTAGTACCATCCAGCTTACTTAAACTGAGTGTGGCGTATATTGTAGTAGGGCAGTCATACTCATTTTCATGATGTGCAGATTGAAACTGTTGTATACCATGAGCTTCCTTGATACTTGTTTGGAATATTTGTGCATCTGTTCAATTGATTCTACTAAAAATACTGTGGTGGTGTGCTTTTGTTCCACACATAGAATAAAGGAGCATTTTTTTAATCTGGCACCTGGGGATGTGTTTAGACCACTGATGCTAGAATTGCAATCAGCCTGTCTTTTCCCAAGGTGCCTGGGAATTCTAAAATTGATTATATATTTAGGAGATGCCAGGTTGCACAAAACAAATAAATATATTGGACTTGGATACTTATATTAAATAATGTTCTTTAGTGCTGTACTTTGCTAGCCTACACTAAATAGAACATAAAATTCTCCTTCAGCCTAAAATACTTTTGTTACTTTTGCACACTCTTCATTTTTTCTTAGGAGGATGGTTCGTCTATCAACAGAGGAATGAAGTTCATAATAATTGTGGGATAGAAATATATTATCAAACAGATATGCAAAGCACTTCGGAGAATATGTTTTTGGAGCTCTTCTGTCAAATTATCTCAGAGCCTTGCTTTAATACTCTGCGCACTAAGGAACAATTAGGTGAGCTTTTGTTTATGTGTATCTCTGTTAAGATCACTATATATATATATATATATGTTTTCTTAAGTTTTCGCGGGTACTTACATGTATGGTGTTCGGCTTGGTTCGGGTATTTTCCCACGTCATTGTAGTTCTTTTAAAGTTGTAGCAACGTTTCAGCAGAATCTCATCTGCCATCATCAGGCTTCTGTATTGTGTCCGTCTGTGGGTCAGACTTTTACAGTGGTTTCAGATTTAAATTTGGGGCAGCCTATTGCTGTGCCAGAATGGTTTTTTCTTCATCCTGATTGGTTGGGAGTCTTGGTCTGTGTTTATTGGTCTCGGAGTTTGCTGTGTTCTGCTTGATGGGTGTTTCTGATATCTTCTGTCTGTTTTTTGGCTCTTTTTGTATCTTGATTGGCTGGCAGCATTGTGTTACTTTAATGGAGGTCTTTAGTGCAGCTTGGCTTCGGGTAAATGGACGGCTAGAACACAACAAGCAGAACACAGCAAACTCCGAGACTTTTCATTAACAATTCCACCTATAGCACAACAGATGATTAAAGAACAAATGATCAGCTATTTAGGGCTGTGTGGTTTATTCATTTAACTGATTTTGCTGCATTTGTACAACACACAGTCTCACAAAACACTGTAAACTAAAATATGATTGTGGTTGGTTCTCAATAAAACTGAAAGAAATGGTGTGAAGCAGATTCTTCTGCAATGGATGCTTTTTAAATCAGATTTTCATATTGTGGATTCATAGCAGTCTTGCAATAGTTTACATTAAAATCAATTCTAAGACAGTGTATACTAAAATATCAATGGTAAAGTAATATTTGTTTATATTCTGCTTTTATTATTTTTATAAATAACTCAAGGTGGCAAACACACTCAGTATTCCTTCTTCCTCCTATTTTCCCCATAACAGCAATCATGAGATGGATTGGGCTAAGAGAGAGTGACTGGGCCCAGTCACCCAGCCAGCTTTCATGCATAAGGCAAGACTAGAACTCACAATTTCCTAGGTTTGAAATAAAAATAAAACATACTAAAAGCACAATAATTGAATCCTAAATGATCTCTGGAAAAATTACAACTTCATCTTAACTAGAAGGCAATCAATTTGGGACTAACCAAATCTTTAGGGACAACTTCTCTGCAAACTAGGCAATGCCATTCAAATCAGTGCCCTCATTCAAATCAAGATTTATCACTTATGTCATATTTAATATCAAAATAAGAGGCTGTCTAAATTTGAAGAATATTACAGTATATAACTCCAAAAGAGGCTACACATGGAGGGGAGATGAACATTTTCATTAGGTTGGAAAAACGGAGTCCAGATCCTGCAGGTCTGAGTTCTGTTCCTACAGCCTGCCAGAGCAGTTTACTTCCACAGATAGCAGGTAGATGAACTCAGCAGGTAGCTCTTTTGCCCTGTTTGTTTAATGACCGAGACGATCACTTAACAATCACAATCAGGAGTGCTGGGATTACAGTGGTTCAGTGAAGCAGCCCCATAGATGTCTTGCTTAACAAATGCTTTACTCAGTGATCAAAATTCCAGTCCTTGTAGTGCAGTGGCTCTCCTCTTTGTTAATAAAGAGTTTTTAACGTAGTACTAAACACTTAATTGCTTGAAATAACACAAACACTGGTTGTATCCAGTGGGAAATCTTACCTGGCAAGGTAGGATGGGATATGAAAGGTATGGAGGTTGGGTCTTTCTCAAAAAATTAAACTGTAGTATGAAACAGAAAGTTGAGTTAGAAAAAGATGTTTGTGGAAATATTTTATTATTAAATTTTTTAAAATCCTACCTTTATTAGTTTGTTAAAGCAACAGACATACAAAATATTCCTTCCTCCTATTTTCTGTCCATATTTTATTTTTTTTAACATCAATTATAAGTCAGAAGATCGTTGTACTATCAATGGTTGTTCTGGAAAACAATCTAGAAGTGCCATATTGTTTTGCCTCCAAACTCACACTCCTGCAGTAAGTTTAGCTTGTCACAGTCAAACCACAGCTGATAATGATGCTGTGTCCTTCATTAAAACAACTTCTGCCAATATTTCTAGAATAAAATTTAAAATTATCAGTTGGAACTCACATAAATGCAATCTCCTGTGCCGCCATCTCACCAGAAGTCCAGTTAACAATTTGATTTTAATAACTATTCTAAAAAGTTGTGCTAACATTCAATGTTAATTTAAAATTTTAATGAAAGGTCAGGATTCAAGAAAAGAAATTGAAGCCTTTTTTTCTCCTGACAAAGAATAGTAAGAGATTACAACTGCAAGAAATTACAATTGCTGATATGCTGACTCCCCCCCCCCAGGTTACATTGTGTTCAGTGGTCCACGAAGGGCTAATGGTGTCCAAGGTCTGCGGTTCATCATCCAATCAGAAAAGCCCCCACACTACTTAGAAAGCAGGGTGGAAGCCTTTTTAAAAACCATGGAGAAATCTATAGAAGATATGTCCGAAGAAGCTTTCCAGAAGCATATCCAGGCTTTAGCAATTCGCCGCCTTGACAAACCAAAGAAACTATCTGCCGAGTGTGCAAAATATTGGGATGAAATCATTTCTCAGCAGTATAACTTTGATAGAGGTAAGAAAAAAAAACTAAGATTACCATGAGCCAATTGGAAACAAGAATATTAGAGATCAACTGAAATCCCACCTTCCATGATAAAAATTCCTATTGTAGTTTTAAAATTAGTGACAGTCTCAACACTGGAATATGAGCCATAGTGGCACAGTGGTTAGAATGCTAAGTACTGCAAGCTACTTCTGCTGGCTGCAGTTTGGCAGTTCAATTCTCACTGGCTCAAGGTTGACTCAGCCTTCCATTCTTCCAAGGTGGGTAAAATGAGGACCCAGATTGTTTGGAGCAATATGCTGACTCTGTAAAACTGCTTAGAGAGAGCTGTAAAGCACTGTGAAGCGGTATATAACTCTAAGTGCTATTTCTATTTTACCCTTTAAACATTTTGTACAATTCTGAATTATTACAGAAATCATTCAAGAGAGGATGGTAAGACTATTTAATGGGCTAAAGCTTTCAGACTACAATTGGGGTTATTTAGTATGGAATGAAGGATAAAGAATGACATGATTGAGGTTTATAAAATCATGCAGGATGTAAATAATGTGGATAGACTGAAGTATTATGATGGAATACTTGTAGCACAGGGCTTAACTTTGGGGTCCATGATGCTGTCTGAGCTTAGTGGTTTTCTTGCAGATGTTTTATTGCCGAAATTGGGTAACAGCAGTGCTAGCTAGAGTGAAGTATTAAAATGCAAGGTTATCCATTTAAAACATTATATTCTCTGCCAGCAGTTATGGCAACGGACGCCAAGTTGGATGATTTTAAAAGATTTGTTAGCCATGGCTATGTATTGCACACATCAAACTTGCATATTTTGTACATACTAAATTTATTAACTTTGTTGTTCAGATAACATTGAAGTGGCATATCTCAAAACCCTTACTAAGGATAATATAGTGCAGTTTTACAAGGTAAGTTGATCCAGCTTTTGGTTAAATTATTATTAAAAGACATATTTGTAATACTAAGATATAATCTATAAAGATTGTGGTAATTTAAGATCATATGGATGAAATATTAAAATATTGGCATGCAAATTCTTCTGTATACGCCATATAACATAGCATATTAACAGTTATTTCATTGATTATCATTTTATAAAGGAAACATATAATGGCTTATAAATAGATATACAGGAAACATCGAATACCAATTCCACATTTTTAATGATCTAATAATTTCCATTCAGATGTTAATAACTAAGGTTCTTAATAAATGCTTTATTATGCTGCTTCTTTCAAGAGCTTTAGCAAGCTATGGGGATTCTAGTAAAAGGTTAACTATTCAGCAAAGAAATCAATATTGGATGATATAATGTGTTGGTATATTCAGAATGCATTTTCTAAACAAAGATTTGACAGAATGATTTGTTCTGAAGGTGATATGGAAATTATTTTTACTTTGCATGTTTGTTTTTGAGATTTGCAGAGGTGCTATAGTATCTATCGTGTAAAAATAAAAAAAAAGTAGTTATAGTGTGATAATTTAAAATTAATGTTCTAAACAGATTCAAGGTAATGTGTGATTTATTTTTATACACCATTATTCAGTTGTATTACTGAAGATCTAGCTATGTAATTTATGGGGCGATTGACGTTAATAAGAGCTTCCAGTGAATTTTTCTTTCTTGCCTTAGGAATAGAGAAACCTTGCAATAATTGTTGAATGCTCATTTATAATTATAATTATAAATTATAATAATATAATATAATAATATAATATAATATAATATAATAATATAATATAATATAATATAATATAATATAATATAATATAATAATAATTAATATAATATAATATAATATAATATAATATAATATAATATAATATAATATAATATAATATAATATAATTAATATAATATAATATAATATAATATAATATAATTAATATAATATAATAATTATAATTATAATTATATCATAATAATTATGAATGCTCATTTCATTTGAAGTAGTGCTAACAAAATACTGACTACTATTGTTTCTAGTAGACTTTTGATTGCCAGAGAATTAAAAAAAAAATTAATGTTTTGTTAGATTATCTGATTACAGTTGTGGATAATTCTGATTTATTCCTTTCCCAGCTAAATCACTTAATGAAGCGTTTGATGAGCTACAAGCTAGATTTATTTTTTTACCATGTATTTAATGTTTCTCCTAAGCATTGGTACATGTTTTTGGAAGTAAGCTGAGAAGAATTATTAGTTCTTATAACATTTTGACTTGCAGCTCATTTACTAACTGTTCTGAATTTCATTTATTCATGTAACGTTTGTTGAATCTGAACATTTTCCTAGTAGAGGGGCTGTACTGAAGAAAGTAGGAAGGGTTGGCTTTCGTTAGGAAAAATAAAGCTACATCATGAGCTTAGATAATATAACTTGAACAGCGAAATCAGATGCAGTGGGGATCTTGTGCCATGTATGCTCTTCCTGTTGGTGCTCTTCTTCCTGTTGTGCTCTTCCTGTTGGTATTCATGGTAGCACCCAGATCATTCGTCATGCAATATTAAAGGCTCCTTGGTGGATTTCAGTTTTAGCTCTTTTAAACCTAGGGGCAGCAAAGAGATAGGTGGGGAAAAACACTGTAATGGAGGTCAGCTAAGATTTTTTTCTTTCCACTTTGATGAAAAGCTATGAAGGGGAATTAATGGGACCAGTTAGCTGATAGAAAACAGGAATTTAAGCCACTAAGAGTGTCTGTAAACACAGATCCCAGTGAAATCATCATCAGTCCATGAAGATTTATAAAGTATTTTAAACACAGCGTGTGAGAACCTAACCTGTACAGTGTCTAAGGGCTTTAAATTGTAGTGCATACAATCCATTCACCATGCAGCATTTGTTTTGGGCCTTAAAGAACTTAATGGTGGCAAGTATGCATCTACCCCTTTTGAAGTGTGTGGGGGGGGGGGAGGCAAAACTTGTTTGGGCCCTGCTGTTGGCCTTGCAGAAATGCTTCTAATTTGTTCCCACTCAATCTTATGCCAATTTGAAAGATAAAAATCTGTTGAATTTTATGCCCCCAAATTAGCCATTGGTGTTTGAGTAAGTAGATCTTCCCAAGAAAACCAGAATTTTGGCTTTAAGACCCATGAATTGAAAGCTCTTCATTATAGAATTCCATTATGGCCTGCAGACTTTTTCTGTGAGCAAAATCATTGCTTTGCCATCATTGTATTGCCGCTGAGTGCCTGTTACTCTGTTTCGGAGGTTCAAAATTCTTTTTCGTTAAGGCAGCTACCATTGAACTGGCTTTGATAATAGATAGGGGCTACAATGCAACCTCTTTCAGTTCATGTCTGCAGGAAAGTGATCAAATCTATTACATCTAATTTGGTTGACTGTATTCTCATACTGCATCCTCATGTTATTCTGGCAAACTATTTACTTAATCTTATTTGTCCAGCTCACTCATTTGTAGAGCCATTTCTTATCTCACTTCAACCTCTTACACTTGGCAATATTTGAGGAGAAGTAGCATAGGACTCCTTTCACCAAGAGATGCTGTCCTTGAGATCAGAATGAACCTGAGACCCCTTAACATGTGCTTTTCTGACATCTTTTTTTTACATCACTATACATGCAGAAATACCTTTGCCACTCCTTGACAAAAGCCTAGGATTTTTTAATGAGGGAGAGGCTGTCTGGGTCCTACTCACAACCAGAACCCCACGATTAGCAGTAGAATTGCTAAATTTCTTTCTGTAGCAATTTCCACAGGAAGACATAATATGTCCTAATTTTGGAGCGATGATATAATGAATCATCTTCATTCTGTTATGTTTTTGTATTCTTATTTTATCCCATTATTTTATCTTATGTTTTACACATTATTACTTCATTCATTCTCTGGTTTTTAGTCTAATTGTTAATGTTTTATGTTACTATTATACTGTTTTAATTGTCTTTAGTCACTGTTTCTTTTTCTTTTTTACCTGGCTGGTCATTTACCATAGTTAAATAAATTTGATTTGATTTGATTTAGCATTAATATTTGTCAAAAATCCTTTGCTTCAGGGTGTAGTTTGTTTAGCTTATTTGCATGATTTCTTCCCATTGCAAAGATGGAATTCTGTCTGGGTTTTTACGGAAATAATTAACCCTAATTTATTTACATGTAGGAAATGTTGGCAGTAGGTGCCCAAAGAAGGCACAAAATATCAGTCCATGTACTAGCAAGGGAAATGAATTCCTGTAAGTACCAAATGCATGTATTTCCTCACAAATAACCTCTGTTCAAGCTGGCCCCTAAAGATTGCTGTAATGCAGAACAAACATGCTGTCATGTGACTTTTAATGGATGAATAGAAATACATTCATTGATTTACATGAATGCCACTTAAATTATAAATGTAATAGTGAAGCAACCAATTGCATTAAAATATACCACTCACAATCCATTTATATGCATGGAAATAATTATAAGATGAAAGTGGCAGCCATACTTTGTAGAATTGGTACTGCCCAAATTAGATCAGCTGTGATCTGTTGTAGCTGAGTTTGTTGTTATTAGTGGTGAATGCTCCAGAGTGCTGATGCAGGACTTTCTGTAGAAGTCAGAATAGGAAATAGTGATTCAGCAGTACTGTTGTAAAGTGCTCATGGTGAATTGTGAAATTACATTAGCACGAATGCCGTAGGACAGGGGTCACCAACCTTTTGGACCTCAGGGACCACCAAACTCATAATTTTAGATCCCAGGGACCACTAACCGGTTCTGTGGGCATGGCCTAATTTGTGGGTGTGGCTTGGTCATGTGACTGGCTGGGCATGGCTTGTATGTAAATTATATTTATATAAATATTGATTTTTTTATAAAAAAGAGCAACTTTTACTCAAAAGCAGGCAGGCAGATTGAGTTGTTCACAGAATCACAGATTCATTCAGAAATCTATCTATCTGCCATTGGCTAGCTCAGTCTGTCACATAAAATTTGCTAGCAAGCAAACTCACAAAATTAACTCACAACATACCATGCATGTAAATATTGATTTTTTTTTATAAAAAAGAGCAACTTTTACCCAAAATCAGGCAAAGCAGGAAGATTGAGTTGCTCACAGAATCATTCAGTGATCTATCTATCTACCATCGGCTAGCTCAGTCTCTCAAATTTGCTTGCCATGAGTCTGCACTGAATTTGCTTGCAAGCAAACCTTCAGTCCTAAGGGAGGTTCGGCTGTGCTGAGCCGAAGATCTAAAGACTAACTAGAAAGCAAGAAATCCAACCATTTCCTGCTTCCTAGCTAATCTAAATCTCTCGGCACAGCAGAACAGATGATGGTCAGAAAAAGGAAAAATAGTAATTTAGCAGGCAGGTTTACCGGGTAAGGAGTGAGTGGGCGGGGAGGGTTCCCATGGGCCATGTGGGCAGCGCAGCCGTGTGTTTCTGTGCAGTCTGGATTAATTGCTTTGCGGGGGGTGCTCTGGGGGTGAGATTGTTCTGCAGCCCACCAAAATTTTCTCACAGCCCACCAGTGGGCTGCGGCCCACCGGTTGGTGACCACTGCCCTAGGATATCTGTGAACTGTGAGTTGCTGGCAGAAAACAGTTTTCTTGAAGTTTCCAGCTCTAACTTTGTAGAAATTCAGGTTGGAATTTGATTACAAAGTCCTTTCCTTACATTCTGCCACAATCTGGTCATAATTCAAAACTAGAAACAGCTGAGGGTATATCCAAGCATCATTTTGCCAAAAGTATCCTGTTACCAACAGATTCAGCAATGAAAGACTTGTGTTTGTCTCCTTTTGAGAGATATTCTGCTATATTACACATTGCCGTCAGACACTTGCATATGAGTTTCAGCAGGCAACCATCCTTTGTGACTGTTATTTTGATACAAATCTGCAAAAATTCCAACAAGGAAAAATGCATATCTTTTATCTTTTAAATATATGTTATAGAGCTCTTTATTAGTCTTTAAAATATTATTGTTATGATTATTAAATAGGTCCTGTTGTAGGAGAATTTCCAAGCCAAAATGATATAAGTCTAACACCAGCACCACCACTGCCACAGGTAAAAAAGAAAGATATTTTCATTACTATTTCTAAAAAAGAAATGCCCAAAATGCCATCTGGTTTGTGCAGTTCTAAATAATGTTTGAATTATTAACAGTTGCATTTATCTGACATGCTAATAAGTTGATGATTAAGATTTTGCAATCCAGACTTCAACAATATATGAAACAGGAATTATGAAATGTAAACTTGGGTTCAAAGGAAACAAGGCACACAAGATCATATAAATCATCCCCAGTGAATTCTGGAAAAGGCAAGAGAATTCCAAAAGAATCTGTTTTTGTTTGATGGGTTATATAGAGGATTTTGATTACATCGACCATCACAAATTGTGGATAGACTTGAGAAAAGTACACCATGCCAAGTGCCTACAGAAGAATATTTATGATGACCAAGAGAAGCAGTTAGAATTTATAAGGCCCCCAAGGATTCAGTATCAGATGAAGTAAAACCACTTCACTTGGGCATGCAAGAATTATTGGAGAGAACCATGGAAAAATGGAAATAATTAAAAAAGAAAACAAGTTGAATAGATGATATCACTAAACAACAGAAGCATAAGCTTACAAGAAGCACAAGAAGCAGTTCCTGGCACACAGTCTTGATAAAAAGTTGATCAGGTCACCCAAATATAGAAGCAACTAAAAAACAAGCACAACCAATCAACCTATTTACACTGATTAGGCAACTAGGTGAATGGCAGTATAGTGAGTTTAACTCACAAGCAATAGATCATTTATCATTGTCATTTTTGCCTTAATTGAGCACTGGTTCGGATTTCAGCCTGTCTAAAATCCCTTTTTTAGTATTTGCTTGTTAATTCATTCAAATGCTAATAGTCAGCTTCTCAGTTGGTCATTCTAAGCTGTCAGCAATTTTTCCTGAGATGATTTCCTGGTTGCTTCAAATCCATCTTTTAGCAATAATACTGCAGGTTTTACATACAGCTTAATGTTTTCACTCACATTGGCACATAGAGTGTTTTTGTCTGCAGATTGCATCTTATTGTTACATTGAACTTTTATACACTAGAGGACACAATCCTATTTCAGAAGAATTGGGTCCAAGTCTGATTTCTGGGTTTGGTTTTTAATGATGGTTTTGCAGTTAAAACCTGTGCTTTTTTCAGCTTTCAGTGATTCTGCCTGTCTTGTGCAGCATATCAGTAGGAGCATGCTTGGTTCTCAATGGCTATCTTTCTAAAATGCTTTGTTTACAGCCAGCTGTGATTGAAAACATGACTGAGTTCAAACGCAGCCTACCACTTTTCCCTCTGGTGAAACCTCATATCAATTTCATGGCCGCAAAACTGTGAAGAATCTTGCTGGATGAAGAACTGGAAGCGGATTAATATGCCTTCAGTGGATTTTCCTAATGGACAAAGACCTTATCCTTTAGGACAAGTGATCCAGGATTCCTGATTCCTTCTAGGTTCATCCAGCATCAGTGCTGCAATAGGGATACAGCAACTTAAGCAAGTATGCTCTAGTCATGTGTTATATGTTTGTCATAGAGCCACTACCAGAAACTAAAATTAAGTGGTATATATGAAGATTTGTGTAGGTAAATGGTATATTTTACAATAATGTGGCCCTTTAAAAGTTTAGTTTGCATGGATTGTGAAGAAGTTTCCATACCAGTCTGATCTTCACTTGCAAATCATTGCTTTTTTTTTAAGATCAGCTGTTTTGGAAGCGTATTTTACTGGACAAGAAAGAAAATATTATTAAAAGGCCATATTGATGTTTTTAAAGGAAGCATGGGGTGATACCATTTTTTTAAAAAAATTAGATTCTTGGAAGTAGCCATTTAGATTCTATGTAAAAATCAGTGGAAAGGGGGAGGAAAAAAATTAATAAATATCTTTGAAGAGTTATTAGAAAGGTCAAAATAGTTTTAATCTTTATATCTGTTTGAGAAGATTTTATATACAGACTAGTAAAATGCTGGAAACACTTGGGTAGCCATGTTTTTCTCGCCAAGAGTGCTACTTTATGTTTATAAACTTTGCGTTTTCTTAGGGTTGCACTGATAATGTCTCTTTGACATAAATAAAATTACTATGGCATTCTTTTTCTCTTCCAGTTGTCATGTACTGTTTTAGGGCAAATCTAACAAGATTTTGGTATACTGTATTTTTTGTAGTTATTTAAATTGTAGGCAAATATTTCTCCTTTATCAGAAACTCACAGTGTAATATTTGCCTGGATCCCCTGCATACTGTGTGAATGTCAAGTGTGGTCATCTAGCACAATCAGCCTTACACACACACACACACACACACAGTCTGCACCTTCCTCAGTTCATGAAGACTTGTTGCAAATTCTCATGCCACACTGAGCTCTTTCTAGGAGTAGAAACTGGGAACTAATACACGGTTTCAGAGTTCATGCACATCAGCAGTAACTATCAGTCTAATAATGCAGACGTTGAACTTCCCCCATCATTTGTCTGCTGAAAAGAGCTCAATATTTTAAATGCAGCCTAAATTCTTAGCCTGCGTCACTTTTATGTGGCACTTCAGGCATCTTTGACTTACGACCTGTTGCTTAGTGACCGTTCAAAGTTACAACTGACAACTTAAATTTGAAGTTCTGACAGTCAGACCCCCTTCCCAGTCATGTGACTGAACTGCAGGTGTTGGGCAACATGCTGTGTTTGCAGCATCCCATGGTTATGCGACTGTGTTTTACAATATTTTGTTGTAAAACTGTCCGTAACAAACCATTGTTTGCTTAATAAACACAGCCTTCTCTTAACTACTGCCATAAAAGAGTAAAATTGGGCCTGTGGCCTGTTTTACAACTGTAACAACAAATGACCATAATGGGCAGACTCCATTACGGTTGTTTCTCAGAGACTGCTTGTAATACCACTGTATGATTTGCTATTTATGATTCAGAGCAGCAACCATTTGCCAATTGATTTTGAGGAAGGAAGGGGAGATAATTGTGCAAAAGAAACTGGAAACAAGTATAATTGGAGTTAGTATTTTAATTATCAAACTTAAAAAACAATCAAGTTTTTGAATGGTTATGCCACTAAAAGCACACAGAGAAAGATCAGGTGTTCGTGTTAAGTGGTTAGACATGAGGACCTTAACACTCAAATATTAAAGGCTTCAAAAGATGAGACTAGAATGTGTGTATTGTTAGGGTTACACCACTTATATGCTTTCGTTATGATTAATTCCACTGATGCCTTGATTATTGTAAAATGTATGTTACATCTTCTGGAAGAAACACTATAGAGAGCAGTTTACATTAGTGTAGAAAAATAACTAAAGAGAGAACATAGAATTAACTGAAGAGCTATATAATTATTATATTTCACCTTGATGGGTTAATTTGAAAATGACAGCATATTCCTACATCATATACTTGAATGACTGAAAGGTACTCTTTCATATCTCAGAGGTTCATCATTTTGTTACTCAAGAAGATGTACATTTCAACTAGTAGACAAAATAGGAGCATTTTAACCGTAAGCTTCAAAGATTCTCCTTTATTGGGACACGATTGGTACATTGTCCCTTAACATCAAAACAAACTATAAACTGATCTGATGGCACCTGTCAGATGCTCCCTTCCCACTATAACAAATGGCAATTTGTTGAAGCTACATAGAGGGTTTTGCAGTGCTCTGAAGTCCATTAGCAAGAGATCATTTGGAATGTGAATGCGAACACAATGCTGTTTGCTACTTAATAGAACAAGAGTATCTACCCAGCTATAGCTTCAAGATGCATGTCCTCTTGTGGAACCCCCGTTAAATCTGTAGAAGAATTGTTCCAGTTATCCAATAAACAGTGCTTAACATAATTGTATCAAATTATTTTAATTCACAAAGCATGAAAAACATGCAACAACATTTATGGCAAAATCCGTATAAAGATTTATCTTTTTATATAGTTCCCCCCCCCCCCAAATTTAATATCTTTGGGTGTGTTTTACATTGCAGGATTACTCTTAGGAGTCCCAGACAATTTGGTAATACTTAGTGAAAATTCTGACAGTCGTAATCCTATCACATCTGGAGAGTGTTAGAACTGGTAGGAGGCTGTCCTAGAATAACGGTACAAATTTGCATAACTTCCTTTTTACTGAGTCTACTTCTAGTCACATTTTAAGACAGGGGTGGCCAATTTACTGCCCTATTGAGTTCTACATTGCAATGAAAAGAGAACACCTATCATTGGGGCTGTTTTTGGTGATTCTCATCTCTGATTTGTTTTTCAGCTGAGAGGAAAGATGCTATAAGTTGAGCTTGAATAATGTTCATTGTATCTATTTTCACTCATCTTGTCCCATTTCTTAATAATAAGAAAATGCTACTTTGAGTTCGGAGGAAGAAAGCAAATCAATCAAATCATTTTATAAGATATGGACCTCTGTCTGCAAAAAAGCAGACACACACAAATATTCGTCCTGGATTTATCTATCTGATACAGATACCTAGTCTTCTACTTACAGCCATTTGTTCATAACAAGCATTAGAAATTAGAAAGGGACTTAAACCTGTGCCTAAATTTAAAGCTGTTGCAGCGCACCTGCAGTCACATGATCAAAATTTCACAGCAGAGATGGCTAAATTGACTGCTTTGATTAACGAAAAAACCACAATTACTTTTGTTTCTACTGGACTTTGTGCTTGAGGTAGAAAAAAGTGAAACTTTGATTTTGGGTTTTACCAGTTAGGTTTGTTGTTATAGAAATGGCTAGTTTATACTAAAGTAAAAAGTTGAGGTTTGATGCTATTACCTTATTCTACTGCACCAAAGGGAGTTGGAAGTCAACACCTTTTCTTTCTTTTTTCCCTTTTTGTTACCCTTTTCCGTTCCCTTCTCCCTTATTTTCCTATCATTTTCTTTTATATTTTTGTATTTTATATTATCAACTAATAAAAAAATAATTGGCTGCTTGGCAGTTTGCCTGGACTTATGACCCCTAGAGCACTCCTACTCCCCCCATCTATCTACCTCCCCCATCGAGGGCCTTTTGGCACCCTGCTGCTGTGTGCTTTGCCACCCCAGCTGACCTTCACTGCTATCCTTCTTCCGCTGCGAACGTGCCCAGCCTGGACGCTGGGCTGTATGGGGCTGGTTGTTTGTTACAGAAAAGGAAAAAAAAATGCACAAAGGGCAGCAGAGGTCCAAAGGGTCCCTTTGCAAAGAGCTCCCAGGTGGGGCTGAGGCTGGCTTTGCATTGTGAAAAAGGCGTCTATGACAATTCACCACGGCCAACAGGACAATTCAGGACAAGAGTTACAATAATATCTGTTGTGGTTCGCTGGCAGCCGGTGGGGATGGTAGAGGTATTGGACAGTGAGAACGAAAGGGAACCAGTCAGGGAGTCTGGCGAGGACTTGGATGAGGGTCCTGCGTCCAATGCAGGGATGGGGCCAGGACCATCTGGGAGTGGGGTGCTGCCTTTGGAGTCTGGCAGGAGCGAAGCAGAGGACCCAAGGGAGCCTGTTCCCAGTGCGCGTGTATGCAGGGCTGCTAGAAGGAGAGAGCAGCTGAAGCAGCAGAGGCGACTCAGGAGTAAGGCTGTGAGATGATTGTCCCTCCCGTAAGGGATAAAAACCAGCCCTCGGTGATGTGCTTGTTGCAGGAAGTAAAAAATTTCATTAGATTCTGATTTCTCATTGAAGCCTTGCAAATTTTGGTTTGTTTTTGCTGGAACTTCTTTCAGTATATATCATAATTAAGTGCAGCCTTCTACAATGTTGAAGGCATGAACTTATCTCAGAGAATTGTTTCTAATGAGTTTTGGCTGGGAATGCAACAAATTCCCAGCACTGCTGGGAAGTAGAAACCCAAAACTTCAAAAATGGTTTGATTTTTACACTGTTTGTGTTTCCTTAATTTGGACGAAGCCTGGGTCAGAACAATATCAAAGAAATGATGGAATAGAATCATTACAGAAAGGATGCAAAAGGAGGGACAGAATGAAATGTGAATGGCAAAAATTAAAATAATTTTATTAATTTTTTAAATAAATAAATAAATAATTAAATAGAATTGTTAAACTGTTCCGCAGCAAGTTGTTCAAGGTGAGTTGTCCCGCAGTGAGTTAGCCATGGTGAGTTGGCCACAGCAAGTTGGCCAATCCTGTCCAGCCCAGGAGCTTGATGAAAAGGAAAAGGGACCCTTTGTGCTTTTTCCTGCCCTTTTTTTGCTGTACAAAGTTAGCTCCACACAGTCCAGAAATGGGGCGGTGAAGGTCAGCTGGAGTGGCAAGGCACAAGGCGTAAGGAGTCTTGGAAGGCAGGGTGGCAAGAGCAACTGGCATTTAATGGGAACCTCTGCAGCTGCCTGGAGTGTGGCACACAGCCCGGGAGTTGTGCAGTTCTGTGGTTGCTGGGTGGATAAAAAAAATATTTGATGTAGTTCAGATATTCACCTCTCAATAACACCACTCAGGAAGACCATCAGCCAGCTACATTAGGAGATACAGCACAACTCTCTCACACCCAAAAGCCTTCACTCTCTGCAAGGAAGACCCTTCAAACGTCATATCCCAGGTCAATGTCAACAAGATGTTTTCGTTCCAAGTTGTTTCATGAAGGTTCTAAGCCAGTATTCCAGAACCTGGATCCTTTTTTAGAACGATGGGTATACCATTTTTTCCAGGCCAAAGACCACGCTTGGTCCTCAAGCATCGTGGCAGGAGCTATATTTCAAACATCAGTGAGCATTTTTAAAAAAATCATGATGTCTGTTTCACTAAAATTAAAAACAATAAAGGTGGGATAAAGATCAAATCAATAAAATTAATATGGTGACGACAGGGTGCAGGTGGCTAAAATGGAAGAGATTGAGGGGGGGGGTGTCAGAGACAATCCCTTACTGAGACTCGGGGCTGGAAGGAACCAAGCACGGAATGGCTTGAAAAGATGATAATTGCCAGGATTGCAATTGCTAAGCG